TCCATTTTGAGATATGCCATTTTCTTTTCTTCTTTTATGTTTCCCCCTTTATTTCTGTTTTCTCAACAGTGCGGCCATTCGCAAGGTTGTGCATTTGTTTGTAAAGAATTCATTGGCAATTGTTGTAATCAATGTTTTGATTTCCGGTGCCCATCCATCGGAAGAGCGTTTTGTTGCCTGAACTTAAGATAAAAAGCAGTAGTGTTTATGGCAAATGACTTTTTGGTGAATCAATTTTCCAGGTCATTCTCTGCATTTCGAAGAGCTCCTCAATTCTGGTTAATCTCCGTCACTGTACGTAAATGCCACAGAGGTAGCAAGCAACACAGTGGGCTTGCTTGTATTTCATTTCGAACTGGTCCCAACTTAATAGAAACAGAAAAAAGGCCAACCCCCCATTTATATTTTGCATCATATACAAGGATAAGGTAGGGACCAGCGGCTACTTATGTTTAACTTGGCAAATTTATCCAGATTTTATCATCGCTTGGCTATCCTAAACAAATGGCCACCTTCTCTGGTTCTTCCCCATTTCTCTCCCACTCCCTAACAAGACCAAGCCACTTTTCTTCTTCTTCTTCTTCATCATCACAAACGCCTCCTTCTGTTCCTCCACAAAATCTGCCTTCACAACCACATTCTCCAACACCAATTCAGCAGCTCAGCACAACTTCTTCGGAGCAGCCGAAAACGCCAGTCTCAGTAAAAGCAGAGCAACAGAAAGCTGCCCCTTCTAGCAGCAGCACCAAGAGCACCAAGACCAAGGCTGACTCTACAGATTGGATAGCTTCCACGTTAACCAGGCGGTTTGGGATTGGAGCAGGCCTTGCCTGGGCTGCCTTTCTCACAGTGGGCGTGGTCTCTGAACAAATTAAGACCCGCCTTGAAGTCTCCCAACAAGAATCAAACACAAGGTTTCTAATCATCTCACTTCTTCTTCCTTCTTCTTCCTGTATACATACATATCTTAGTATATCCAATTACAAAATTTGATATCCCGTGACAACTATGTCTTTCTTTTGTTTTGCAGAAATGTTGAGAAAGAAGAAGAGGTGGTGCTACCTAATGGCATAAGGTACATTAATTTTCCCCATGAAGCATGAACAATATATATATATATATATATATATATATATATATATATATATATATATATATATATATATATATATATATATATATATATATATATATATATATATATATATATATATATATATATATATATATATATATATATATATATATATATATATATATATATATATATATATATATATATATATATATATATATATATATATATATATATATATATATATATATATATATATATATATATATATATATATATATATATAGAGAGAGAGAGAGAGAGAGAGAGAGAGAGAGAGAGAGAGATAATTAATGGTGTTGTTTTATTTGGAGTGACACACACAGATACTACGAGTTAAGAGTTGGTGGGGGCGCTTCTCCAAGGGCAGGAGACTTGGTGGTGATCGAGCTCAAGGGGAAAGTGGAAGGCAGTGGACAAGTGTTTGTGGATACATTTGAGAGAGAGAAGAAGCCTTTGGCTCTGGTAGTTGGGTCCAGGCAGCCCTACAGCAAGGGAGTGTGTGAAGGGATAGAATATGTGCTCAGATCCATGAAGGCAGGGGGCAAAAGAAGAGTGCTTGTTCCTCCAAGCTTGGGCTTCGGTGAGAATGGTGCAGATTTAGGTCCTGGTCTGCAAATTCCTCCGTTTGCAACTCTAGACTACATTATTGAGGTCGATAGAGTCTCGATTGCACCCGCATGATCATATTCATATTCTTGTCTTTGTTAATTGTATATTATTATCGAGATCGATAAAGAAATTCGTAATAGATTTTGTATTTTATGGAACACATGAATGTATTTGTATTTTCATTGAGAAAGAAGAGCAAAAGTGAGTTAGGCCAGTTCGTGATGGTAGTACACTTGTGTCCTTTCCGTAGATTAGATTAATGTAGAGTAGTTTACTATTGCTCTAACAACATCTAAAAGTCTAATTAAATCAAATATTGTCCTTAACGGAAAAAGGATGAATAGGCAATTAGTTTGATATATGAAAATAAGAGTAATTTTTGCATATTCCGGTTACATCACGTGGTATACCGAAGCATACAAAAATTTCTTCAAAAGATGATCATGGGCCATTTCGCGAATATGAAGGATATAGAATGTCCTTTATACCCTGGTAGGGTACGAAGAAAAGCAAGGGCACTAATTTTTTTTCGCAGTCACTCAAATTTAGCGATCTTGCAAATTTTTAATCTGTGTTTGGCTCAGTGGTTTTTTCTTCTGTCGTGTTCCTAACCAAACACAACCTTGTTTTCTCACAGTTAAACTGGACCAGGTACAATTGGAATTGGATGCATCACGTTTCGTGAGGGAGGGGAGGAGGGACCCAAATGCATGGTGTTAAAAATGACACGGCGAATAATTTATTTTCCGCGATAGAGAGAGAGAGAGAGGGACGCGCAGTGAAATTGGAAATTGGAAGGGTCAAAATTCAAGACTGAACACTAAAGAGAGGAAAGTAATGGTGTTAAAATTGCAGCCACACAGTTTTCCTATTCAAAGAGAGAGCCCAAACACTTTTATGGATTAATATCTCAGCAACGAGCATAGAGCTTTTTTCCTTTTTCCAGGAGGCAAGCCAAGAAGCCAAGCCCAGTACAATTTCATGGGAACAGTCTTAGACTCCCATTTCTTAGCTCTCACGGCCATTGTCACTGTAACTATGCTCTTATCTCTCTATCTCTTTATGGTTTTTTCTTTTTCCTTCTGGATTTCATTTCCTCTCTCGAAAGTTTTTAAATTTAGTGTTTTTGGGTTTTTTTCTTCAAGGTGGGGTATCAGTTGTTGTTCTTCATAATCACTGCTCTTCTCAAGTTCGACAAAGTCACTGACTTCGCCGGTATACTTCTCTCTGAATTTATTTCCTGAGAATTTGGTTGTTAATTTCATGGTGGCTCAATCAAAACGCAAGTCAACAAAAACAGATAAATATCAATACTAATTGGAAAATGATTGGGTTGTTTGGTTGCCAAGAAATGCTTGCTCAGACATGATTGATATATTTATGACATCATTTGTATAATTGTATTTACTTGCTGATTATGTTTTTGTTCTTTTTACAGGAAGTACCAATTTTGTTATACTTGCTATACTGACTTTGGTTGTCAAGGGCTCATGGCATTTTAGACAGGTATTATCTCTTCTGCATCGACCTAGGAGTTACGTTTGTTTTCTTCATCATAGTTCCTTTTTTTCATGTCAAATTTATTATGCCTAAGGTGTGTGTCACAGTATTGAGTTTGCAGCTCTTCTTTTTCAGGTGGTGTTGAGTTTGCTTGTGGTAATATGGGGTCTTCGCCTGGGACTGTTCCTATTGAGGAGGTACATAACCAATGAAGCATTTGCATTGTATCATACATCTTGTTAATTTCTGTTTCTTCCTCTCACCTTCTCCTTTAAAGAATGGCAGGCTTGCTTTTGTGTTGATTCTATTTTGTGATTCTTTTGTGTTGCTTTTGTGTTTATCAAAATCCAATCATGATTTTCATACTCGTGCAATTTCCTGATCAGGATTTTGCAATGGGGAGAGGACCGGCGTTTTGATGAAATGCGTAATAATATAGGAAAATTGGCAATTTTCTGGATATTTCAGGTTTTCTACCTTTCCCTGCTTCCGGATTTTGTTAGACCTAATTGTGTCCTGCTTGTTCTCCGAAGGACAAAGTTTATTTCATTCTTGAAGCAACCTTATTTTTCTGCAGGCCGTCTGGGTATGGACTGTGAGTTTGCCTGTAACAGTCGTTAATGCAAGCAACAGAACACCGTCGCTCCAAGCTGAGGACATAATTGGATGGATCATATGGTTTGTGGGTTTTGCAGTTGAAGCTACAGCTGATCAGCAAAAACTGACGTTCAAAAGTTCTCCACAAAATAGAGGAAAGTGGTGCAATGCCGGACTATGGAAATACACTCGACATCCAAACTATTTTGGCGAGGTTAGTGTCGAAATGGCATTCAATGCCACAAACTTAGAATTGATGCTGCACTGAACCCGTTTCCAAAATGTGTTTTTTTTTGGCATTCATGCTGTCAAATTTTGAATGGAACTTTGATAAATGTTGTGCTCAGATATTCCTTTGGTGGGGAGTATTTGTGGCTTCCATACCTGTATTAAAAGGTGCAGAGTGGCTGGTGATTCTTGGACCAATCTTTCTCACATTGTTGCTTCTTTTCATCAGCGGCATACCGATGCTTGAGGTTTGCTTCCTGTTTCTTCTGATGTTATTGCAAAATACATAGCACTTGAAGAGTTGCTAATGATGTCTGCTTGAACAATACCAGGAGTCTGCAGATAAGAAGTTTGGAAACGTGGGCGAATATAGGCTGTACAAAAGAACAACTAGGTTAACTTCAGCTTTCACTTTGGTATATGTTTGTTTTGAGTATGAATTGCAGTAACTGAGACCAACATATTCTGTTTCAGCCCTCTCATTCCGCTACCCCCAGTTATATACAAGAACTTGCCCTTGTGGTTCAAAGCAACTTTTCTCTTTGAATTTCCTCTCTACAGTCGTAATCTTCCTCAAGAAGAGCCAAACTGGTGAGTTTACAATCTGTTAGAAAGTATTATTTTCTCACATACCAAATTGTTTGTTCTAAATTTGCAAGACATTTGCCATCTGTGCAAGGTGTAGAACAAGCCGAGTAGAAGGAAGCGATGGATTGAAGATTGGCTAGCCTAAAACTTGATTCTTTTGTAATACTTGGAATTATCATAACTACAGTTGAAGGGAATACGACTTTTTATTATTATTTATTAACGTTTCAAGCTTCTACCTCAAGATTTTTATGCTAGCAATTGCTTTGTGCCACTTCTAATATTTGTATTCGATGCTTAATTTTTCTATCGCCATCCTTATGTTATGAGCAAGCAGAAAAGAGAACATAATACCAAGCTGTGAACATATATAAATTTTTCATCGTGTAAATAATACATGCCTACCCATTCAATTTCAGTTCATTGCCTGTATGTATTATTAGGTATGGGGGGAAAACTGCACAAATCACACCCCAGGTAACTGATACCTCTTAAAAGCTGAGGAAATGAACAAAAAAAAATTAAGATTAAAAAACAAATTATATTATACTATACACCTGCAGTGTCATTAATGTTTTCCAAGGATATGACAGCCCCAGATTTGATCTCATTTGAAGCTTGAGAATGGGACATAAGAATATAAATGACCCAGAAGTGAAGGCATACAAAGTAAATCAAGGCCCATAATTTTGCAGTCCAATTCCTCCGCAAAAACACTGCTCCGGCCAAGAAAATAGAATCCAATTGCTGAAGCGCTGAACCCAGGTGCTTCTTGCCTGAACGGATCCTGTCTTCAAACAAAGGTCTGCCTGATTCTATGTCCCTTGATGAGGAACCAGAAATTTCAGTCATTGACTTGGTTTCATCTAGCAACCTTGACACTGCCTGCAGGATGCATGGATTAAATTAGCCTCTCTCCTGCACATAGATCCATCTTGCGCATTAAAATTTCATCACGAAAGAGTTATCAGTAGAATCAACGTACCTCAATTCTGAACAGAAGAGTTGCTTTCTCCGAGGAAAGAGCCTCAACCTGGTTGAAGTAGAATCATAAATGACAGCTTCTCAAAAAATAAACCAGAGACTTTTTTTTAATATATTCTGGTTCTTTCCAGATATGTACAAGTCAGTGATAAAGCCAAACCCATAGTCTTATATTTTTATGTGAACAGACAAAAACTTGAAGGAACCAAGGGAATTAAGAAAGATTTTGGAAACACAAACCTGGGCTTGTTTATGAATCAAATGGTCAGTCATCTGAGCAAGCCTTCTCTTGAGCTCAATTTCTACTTCTGTTGGCTCCTCTATCTCTTTCCTTGTCATTTCAATGTTTGCTTCCAGCTTCTGTGCCTGAAATGTAACAAGTGATTTCTTTTTTAATGGTTATGGGGGATCACAAGATTAAGGCAAGATATGAAAAATAAAAAATCACAACTTTGCAACAATATAATGAAATACTCTGACCTTATCTTGCAATCTCCCAACTTTATCAGTTACAAAAGCATATTCTGCCTCCAAAATCTCTCGTTCAAGTTCAACTCCTTTTGGAGCTGCTACTTTCTTTAAAGATATTTTTGCTTGATGAGCATCGGAGATCTTCCTCCTGAGTTCTACAGGAAGAAAAAAGAGTTCCAAAAAATGATAGACCAAGATCCCAGTAACACAACATTGAAATGTTCAGATTTATGCAAATTATTCACTGCTTTACACCATATGCCATATATGAGGCCAATAAAGAAGTCAATATATTTGCTATCTACTATTGCCTGAACCCTGGAATCAACTCTCAAGAAAACAATTGATGCCATCGAATCTTTTATGTTCAGAACATGCTTTGGCAGAAAATGAACCAGATTAGTTGTATGTAATATCACATAAATTGAATATACTTTTTCGGAATAGGAAACATACCTTCATGGTTCACTTCTGTTAACTCAACTTGCTGTCGAAGTTCTGCTACTCCATTAACCTAGACTCCCAAAAGAATGAAGGAAGAACAAGAAAAACATGTTAACAAGAGTCAAAAAGCACAAAAGTACTTGTAAGCTCTCAGCAGGTAAGGAAGTGCATCCAAGGCACTTAAAAGGCCAAAGAGCAGGGTTTCAAAAACCACAAAATTGAACTGGAAAAACAAGAAGGAATGGTTTAAGGACAAGCAGAAGCAGAACGTTTTTACAATATTATTTCATCCACTACTTTGAACCATCATAACAATTAAACCAACTGGACAATTATCTTTTGCTCAAAACTTCAATTGAAAAGGTTATCCGAGGTTCATTGTATCACACCAATCATCCGAATCAGGATATAGTCATACCTCTACTTCAAGATTCCATTGCACGGTGGCTAGGGATTTTGCAAGGTCAGCATTTGCAGCCTGCAACAAACTTTGACCTTTAAGTGAAAACAAAGTGAACCTATATGTGAGCACTGACTAAAAAGTTCGAGAAGCAGGGAGCTTCTACTTCTAGATTTAGGGGAGAAAAACAACGAACTCAAAATGAAATTAAAAAAAATCTAAAACGCATAAGAAATCAGATGGAAAAAGGTTGTAGCACCTCCAGTTTAGCCAAACGTGCAAAGACTTCCATTCTAGTGTTATTGTGTTTCTGCTTCTCTAAATCAGCAGCTTCCATGGTTTCCATCATAGTCATTTGCAGCTTGGAAGCCTGAAGCAGGAAAGTAGGTAAACTTAAGTAATAACATTTTATGCAAGAGGTAATGGCCTTAAAACAAAATGGAAAGACAGGATTACTGCAGCCAACCTGGCAAGAAAGATAAAAACAACAAAATCTCAGTAATTTTATTCTTACCTCTTGGGCTTGTTGTTTCACTTGCTCTTCAAGTATTTTCTCCAAGCTCTGCTTCTCTCCCTCTAATCTGGCAACAAGATTTTCCCTCTCTTTGATGGCCTCCACAGCTTTAGCTGCCGCTTTCTCAGCCAGAATCTTCTCCCTCTTCTTTCTTCTTTCCTCTTTCTCACGCTCACTCTCAGAATCAGAACTTGAACCCGAGTCCGACTCAGAGCTCCCATCACTTACCGAAGTAAAACTTCTTTTTAAGTCCTCAGAGGTAGAACTTCTAGACGCTTCACTGGATTCATGATTACCCCTGTCAGTACTTCTCAACCGATCACCCACATTCTCCCCTCCTATCTTCTTGTTAGAACCACCATCATTTTTCTTTGCCGACTGTAAAGAACCCTCCAATGAAAGCTCCTTAAAATCAAAATGTCCACCATTTTCTTCATTTCCCTTGTCTTTTGTTTCTGCCGAAGTGTTGAATCCCATATCCCTATAATCCAACCCTCGTCCTTCCAAAATCTTAACATCACTCTTCAATTCAACAGTTGGAGAACTTCGTGCTGAATCCGAAAAAGAAACGCCAGACTCCTCCCCATCACTTACTTTACCATTCAATTTACTTCCTTCCCCAACACTTGCTCTCCTCCCCGACTTCAGAACATTATTGCTCCCAGTCTTTTGATTCTTCTTAACCTCCAAAACTGACAAGCTGGAAGTGGAGCTGGCACTGCCCTGCCTCCTACCATCCTTCCTCAAACCACGAACCCCTGGGAAACCATTGACACGACTGGCGGTGGAAGTAGTTGCCTGATTAGGTGCACTAAGGAGCTGAGTCCAGTCACTATCAGTAAGAGTAGGCTTAGGTTTCTGAGTTCCAACAATCTCTTTATCCCTACTTATAATAATATTATTATTCTTCTTCTTCTTATCATCATCATTACTGTTACTGGTGTTATTAAGAATGTTGAAACTGGGATCGCTGGTTGATTTTCCACGATAATCACTGTTTTCTATGGTTTTCTTTTTCAACTGGTCCTTCAAAGGCACACTGCCTCCCGTTTTCGTCGGAGTGTCCACGTTCAAGTCGTCGGCGAGAGGCTTCTCGTTTTTCCGCAACGACTCTGCAGCTTGCTGGTCGATCTAAACCGTCCATTTCACAATCACACGCATATCACATTACTATTCCAAACAGATCGAATATTCAAAATAAATATATTTAAAAAACCTTTGATTGCAGATCGACTAGTTTCCAATATAAGGTATTTTGTTTGGATGAATAAGATGTAAATTTTGGCTTTCTGATTTCGACTAAATTTCTATTTCTTCAAAAGAGAAATAGTCAATTTATTTAAGTAATAATAAGATGGGGAGGAGAAGGAAGAGAATTGTACCTGTTGGAGGATAGTTTCAGCAGCCCTGAGTTTGGAGGAGATCCAGTTGGCCATGGTCGTGCTAATTTAGCTCTTTTTTTCTGGAGAAAACTACTCGAGTTGCATTTTTTATATTTGAAACGCAGCGTTTGATGTTGCAGAGGATGAAGCAAGAAGAAGGAGGGGGGATTGGGATGGGAACGATGCGAGTTGAAAGGAGGAAGAGGGTGGAGGTGAAAATGCTCGAGTGACAGGCGGGTACACAGTATGAGTGAATGGACTCGCCGTTCGATTTCGGTGACGAACAACCGGTTGCTTGTGGGTCCCGTAAGGGTTATGGCTGTGATTATTAGAGGGATGGAGACTTAACGCGCGTGTTCTACAACGACAACGACCAACCAACGTCCGGACTCCAGTGCTTTCGGGGCTTGTTTGGTTGCAGCTTATTGTCTATCCTGGTGGGTTCTTACACATTTGCACAAATTTCACTTTTCTGTAAACAAAGAAAAAGGAGGATTTCACGAATAAATCCATTTTTGCATGACATAATATATTCTTATAAACACATTAAGAATAAATTAGAAAATGACAAGTGGCTAGTTGTGGATTTTTCTATCCAAATAGGCTTTATATGAGTTTTTGTACAATATGTCATTCTAAAATAGATTTTTGAATAAATATCTCAAGGAAAAAAAGAGGTTCACATCTCTGAATGTAGATAGGGAGAAAATTTTCATCTTAGTTCTCTTTTATGCTTTTAATTTTTCTTTTTCATTTATAAAATAATCAATAAAAGAAGTAGATACAAATTAAAGAACATACCCCAAAAACAAAAATGCATATAAAAATGTAATATATTATAACAGTATAGCCGCGTGCCTATACTTTTAAAATATTCATATATTTAATTAATTATTATTTAGTAAGTAATTTATGAAATCAGAAAAATATTGAAAGACTAATTATTCATTAAAAAAATAATAATTAAAACATAATTACTAATTAAAGTAATTAAAAAAAGACTAAGATATTACTTAAAATATTCGAATATATTTAAAGAGTATAGCCGCGCGGCTATACTTTAAAATATTATATATTTAAAGAATATAGCCGCATGGCTATACTCTATACTCTTTAAAATAGTTGTATAAATTTAAAAAGAATAGCCACGCCACTATACTCTTTAAATGTTAATATATTTTAAAAGTATCTTATGAAAGCGGCAGCCTATTGAGAAAGTCTTAAAACTAGAAAAGCACCCCTAAGAAAGTCTTAAACAGAAACTCCAACTTGAGGATTGGTTGTGGCATCAAACACCACAAAGCAAATGATTTCCCGAAAACCCACAACATAACAAACTGACTCATATTTGTGGAAGGATGGGCAATGGCATCCTTCTTCATTATCTATTGTATCTTCTGTTACAGACAACAAAGCATTTCAATCATATATGATAATGTCATCAGATTTCTGATGTGAATTTTATGCTTCTCATATACATAACAGGTAGCTCATTTCCTAAGGAGTTTCTGCAATCACATTTGTTACATGAACTTGGATATATGGGAGTGTATAAGCCATCTTCACCAGCTTACCCAACCCAACAAGTAGAACCTAGAGGAGGTTCCTTTTAACATCCTCCTGAGCCCAAACGAGCACAACAAAACATAGAGACAAAGTCAAAGCCATTGTATAAGCCAATATAAATATAAAAAGCCCAAAAAAACAACCTCAGTTTTCAGCTTTTCTTCTATGATATTCAAGGAAAATACTTCTTTCCTTATTATGTAAGTAAAAGCTCCTACATTTATGCAAATATCAATGTGATGCGTGCATATGTTTTTCTTTTTATGAATTATTTTTACATATATGTCAAACTGTGATTGACATAAAGGAGGAGTATCTCATTACAGAGAAGGAGACAAGCAATATCCCATATTAAAGGAACTCCTTAAGATTGAGTAGCAGCTCCTTCTTACGACCAATGTTGTTTTGTCACGTGTCAAATTATTTTAATATTCTTTTCAAATTTTACAAGTGTCATTATCTCATTTGTTGTGAATTCTCCTCAGTTTTAAGGAGCCAAGCCATGTTCTTTTAAAGAAACCGTCCCATATATAATGTTTTATGTTTCTCTTTTATATATATACATAATACATAGAGGCGCATTTTAAAAAGTAAGAAATGAAATTCACACGAGAATAATAATAATAATAATCAACCTCAAAACTCTTGTATACAAGAAGCTCCCTTGGAGTATAAATGGATGAGCAATCTAATTTGAGCAACAATAATAACTAGGTTGTTTAGTGGCCGTAACTTCATGGTCATCAATGTGGATGGTTTGCTTTGCAGCATGAAGACTTGGACTCGGAATGGTTTCATCCAGTTTAGCTTCCAAAATTTTCTGGCTTGTGATTTGATGAATCTTAGAAATCATATCCAAAAACACTCGCTCAACATTCACATTCTCTAAAGCAGAGGTTTCCATGAAACACAGGCCCTCCGTCTCTGCAAAAATTTTGCCTTCTTCCTCGCTAACCTCTCTAGAGTGACTCAAATCCAATTTGTTACCAGCAAGAACAATAACCATGTCGGAATTACCATATTCACGAAGCTCCCGCAACCATTTACTCACATTTTCGAATGATATTTTCCGGGTTATGTCATAAACTAGGATGGCACCAAGCGCCCCACGATAGTATGAACTAGTGATTGCTCTAAATCTGCGTGCGTCAAAAGCTATGTAACATTAATATTCAATACAATAAGAGCATCTATATATAATTATAGCATGCACTTTGATTTTTTCTTATTTGACACAACAGTACTCATGATGATGTTGCAATAGGTTTGTAGCTGAACTCAAGTGATTAGAGCAGTTATACATGCACTCGATGTTTGTGTTCGAATCGCTCGTCCTTTAATATAGCTTGTATCAAATAGTATATCTTGCTTTATCCTGTGTCTTTTGGCCTCACTTATTTTATCATGTTAAAAAGTCATACTTTTTCTTTAATTACGGCATAAATTGTGTTGTGGTGCAATGAAAGGAACAATTATCTACCTCAAGAATCCAAGGCTGACAAAGCAGTTGAAATTAATAGATTATTATGCCTAGTATTAGTACAACAATCAGCCATTGTTTTTAATAATAATAATATTAATAGCGGTGGTTCGTGAACTTGTTTTACAGTCATCAGTAGCAACAACGATGAAAACAGAGACGTCCGCAAGAAACAAATAAAGGAATCAGATAACAAACTTTAAACTATTTTTGAGCTTTTGTAATGTAGTAGACTCAAAGAAAGAAAAAAGAAGGAAAAAATTGAAATCATTGTTTTAGGTAAAAGGTCGGCCCCCACCAGGTTGGAGTATTTTATTTTAATTAGGATATAATTAGAACTTTTGACTCTAATGGGACCAAATCATAAAAGAGAGAGGCACGGTTGAGGAGTAGTGTTTCCTGAATCCATAATTTCATTCGGTTGCTTCAAAAGCTGGGAAACATAAAGACATCCATAAAGAAGAGAAAACAAAAACTTAAAAACAATATATGAAAGTTTTGAAAATTGAGTAATATGATGAAAAATAAAATTAAATTCGAATTGAGTTGTGCATGACAAGTAGTAGTTCAACTTGTCGATCCAAGCAACACAACACAACTGAAGTTATATGATGTTCAGATTTGGGGCATATGAATCATATGATCAAATGAAAAAAGATGATCAAACTTAAGGAGGAGGAGATGATGAGTACCTTTCTTGGCCTGCAGTGTCCCAAATTTGAGCCTTGATGAGTTTATCGCCCACTTTGATATTCCGGTAAGCGAATTCGACTCCGATGGTGGGCTTGGAGTCTAAGCGGAATTCGTCTTTGGAAAATCTGGAAAGCAAATTGGATTTCCCAACTCCAGAGTCCCCAATCAAAACTGCCTTAAACAGATAATCACACTCTTCATCAATTGAATCAGCCATCAACATTAAAATTTCAACCAATAGCTATCTATAATAAATAAACAAGAAAACTTAAACCAGTGATTTTGAAAGGGAAGGGAAAGGAAGGGGCAAAGCAAATCAGAATTGGGGAAGAGCCGTGTTCAAATGTATAATATATATATATATATAAGTTGAAGTTATAAGCTATGAACAAGTCCAAATCGATAGCATGGGGGAGGGAGGGAGGGCAATGAATTGAAAGGCATTTGCTTTTGGAGGGTACATGTGACAACAATGAAAAAGACATGATGGCTGCTCCCCTAATCTTGTCGAGTTTAGTGCGTCTCATTAACATATCACTACTAGGACCAAACTTAATCTACACCCCTAAGTTTTTTTTTTTGTTTTTTTCCGGTCTCATATTACTAGCAAACTTAATCTATACCCCTAAGTTTTCTTCGACCAAAATTACCATTGGGGTACAACATTTTTCACTTATAGTTTCAATATTTTATTATTTTTTCGAGTTTACATGACAGTTTCTTATTGGCCTTTTCTCACTCTATTATTTATTATTGTAACACGTTGTAAGCTAATCACGGATCCGCTGCTGCTGCTGCTTTTGATCATGAATGTCAATGGCTGCCGAAAGCAATTAGTATCTATCTTGTGATCTGATGATTGTTAATAATTCCAAATATTTCCTCTTTTGAAAACTAATATGAATTTCGCATGATTAGAAGATAACTTAGCATTGGACCTCATAACATAATCACGTGACACCACAGGGTCGGGACTCAGGAGACAGCCCACATTAGCCCGGCCTCTCCGCCTTCATTTCCGTTTACAGAAATGAGTTGGGCTTAAATATGAATCCAATCAATTGTTTGGGCTTCAATTGAGTTTGCCAAAGATTTCACCATCACGGAATCTTTTCCCTCCTCTTCAGTTTTCAATCTCATCTAAAATATTTCTTTTTCATCTCTAGTTTATTTAAACCTGCTAAGTTATGGTGGCTGGCTGGTGCAGACACCTCCAAATCAATGACCGAATTCCTCAATCGGATTCAGATTCAGATCAATCTTTTAGGTTAGAAAAATAAATTTAGCCATATTATCTTGTCCGAAGAAATGAACTGAATTGTTGATGTTTAAAGAAAAGCCAAGTAACCATAACCTCTGCGGCTGCCTCCAATATTTTTCAGGACAGAGGACCGCAAATGGTAGCCCTACCCTATGAAGATCAGCCATTTGTTATTTTTCAGGAACATGTTATTGCACTGCAAGCAACTGCAAACTCCACTTGAAAACCAGCCCTACCCTTTCAACTACTCAATATTATGACAAACCTTTTAATTAATCTAATTTATAGAAGGAAATTTGAACTTGAGTCGTGCAAGGAAGCATACTCACACTCAGACCAATTGGTTTAACCCGCATCTGCCTCTTTGATTATATTTTGGTAAAACTTTCTTAAACATGTTTTGTAAACATTGTCCTTCCTCTTTTGCATAGGAATCATATGGTGCTTTGAAGTGTAAATAGCACTACAAAATAGAAGCTAGTCTCTGATTACGAATGTAACTAAAAAATAGTCCCTAATTTCTATACCTTTTCTTTTCATTTCTTTTTGGGTCAAATCCTAATTCCTAAATTTACCCAAATTGGCAGCCCAACCATGTTTGGACTTTGGACCACGTCTTTGCGTCCACGGCCAAAAACCACCATCACTGTTATCGACAAGTTCTATAGTGAGCGACAAGTTACATGGTGAGTGCTGTTTGATCCAACGACTACAGAATTATTGCTTTATTCTATGTAATATCATCGTTGACTCGTCAACGCACCTTGCCATTGAGGATTGAGCCATTGGCGCATCTCCCCCTCCCACTCCCACTACACCAAGCAGCTTCAAGGGTCACCAGGGAGGGCCACCCACAACCTTCTGCCCCTTCTCTACCGCCCAAAACTAATTCTTCTTACCAATACTTCCTTAACATTATCGTCAAATTTGAAAATACAAATCGAAATAAAATAAAATAAAACAAAACCGGTAGCGTCATAATATTTCATTAAACCAAGGGTCCAAGGGAGGGAGAGGATTTTCTCGCGAAACAAACAGAAAGCAAAGAACATAATATTTCATTAGCCCTACCCTAAATCAAGTAGTGTGATTTTGAACAGCCCACAATATAATCACAGAGACTATATATAAAAGGATTTGCACATCCACTTGATCTAATATAGGTATATAAAAATCCATTCCCACAATTATTTTCCTAAATTTCACAAGTCAACCCTAACTTTTTAACTTTCACAGACGGGGAAGAAGAGAGATGGAGATTCGGATCTAAAATCATCATCTAACATAATAGACAAGAGACTACCATGTGCACTAGGCGTTGGTGTTGCTAACGGTACTGGCGTTGGTGTTGCTAACGGTACTGGCGTTGTTGCCCATCATCTTCTTGAACTCCTCGAAATTCACATTCCCATCGCCGTCAGCATCAACGGACCTGATCATCCGATTGCAATCTTCGAGGCTGCAAGTCATTTGGAGCTGATTGAGGACCAAATGGAGCTCCTTGGCCGAGATGAGGCCGTTGCGGTCCTGGTCGTAGAGATCGAAGGCGTCGCGGAGCTCGGCGCCGCCGCCGTCTTTCGGGCCGGAGACCCAGAAGGCGTTGAACTCGTCGAGGCAAATGAAGCCGTCGCGGTCGGTGTCGAGATCGCCCATGACACGCTGAAGCTCATCGGCAGAGACGTTGGAGCCGAGGGCCTTGAGCACGTTGCCGAGCTCGGAGACGGAGATCTTGCCGTCACCGTTGGCGTCGAAGCTTTTAAAGACTCTCTGAACCTCGTCGGTGACGACTGGCTTGGCGTCGACGGATTTTGGGGCTTGGGCTGGGCTTGGGGTTCCGTTGGTTGCCATGAATTCTGGTTTTGGTTCTGGTAATTTGGTGGATAGAGTTTTCAGGATTGAAGAGAGAATGGGGGAAGTGTCGGGTATATATAAAATATTAATGGGAGCATGGGGATGTATGTAGGAGGGAAGGGATTTTTTGGAGCCACCAAAAAACAATGCCGCCAAGAAAAGCGGGGAAAATTGGGAGAGAAAATGACAGCAGGCCAAAAAATAGAAATATTATTATTGTGGTAAAGAATTGCGAAGGTAAATTAAGCGAAAGGATTCTTATTTGGGATCAAATTTCAAAGTCATAACGCGGCATCACTGAAACTTCTAATTTTGAGAAATGGGTGGAATCAATGGGCTACATAAACTTCCTTATTTCTGTTTGTTTTATCGACTCCTTCTCTCTCTCTCTCTCTCTACCTCTTAAATGGGGATAGATAGAGATGCATTTCTCCCATTGCTGATGATATTTTAATATTCTTTATATGGAATTTTCTTTTTTCTTCTTTCTTTTTGCAAAAAAAAAAGAAAAGAAAATTAATTTCATGGTGAGTCATGACTCGTAAGATAAAATAAATTACACGTCTTCTTTAAATAAGTCATGTCACATGGGCAGGTGGTCGTTAAAGCTCTCTCTCTCTCAGCAAACGAATTATTTCGCGCGTCGACGCCAAGTGGTAGCGAAGTGCACTCGGTTTGGACACGGTTTCAGTACTGCAAAAACAACAAGCAACGCGTATTCTTTTGGTTTTGGGCCTTCCACAATGTACGTACCCAATGAAAAAAGAAGAAACACGTACCTGCCTTTGACGATGGGCTTGATTGATTAAAAAAAGAAAAGAAAAGAAAAAAGTTTGTTCGTTCGTTGCAAGGCGCAAACATGCTAAAGAGTAGGTAAGGTATCACGACTTTCCTATTCTATTTTTGTAATTGACCAGGAGGGACGGAGTCTTTCTTTTTCTTTTTTGAGCAGTTGATGCTGATGGTACACAAAATAGGCCGTTTCTTTTTTTATGTTTCTTCTTTCGCTTTTCTCTTTTTATAATACAAACGATAGTCTAAATTAATCTAATTTATGAACAACGAAACTCAATCTTACACGGATGATAGGACTCGAACCAAAAATTTTGCCTAGAAGAGCAATTGCTCCAAACTACTACAATACAGTGGGTCCTTACCTCCTGGCTTTTCTAAAAATATATCTAGTTTTTTGCACTAATTTGGAAATGGTCCACAAAATTTGACTGAAAACAGAGAATAGACTCTACATTTTACTATTGGTGAAGCATACACTTCACTCAATATCTTCTTAACAAAATGAACTGGACTTGACTTGTTTTCCGGAAACAGCCAGGCTCAACTTTTCAGTATTTTAAACTTGCAAAGAGGGTGATGGATGGTGCTTAAAAAGTTGACGAACAAATCCCAACCTGGAGTACTTTCACAAGGGCCGGTTTTTAGCTTCTGTAGAATACACCATTGCAACCTCATTCCCAAGACGACAGAATCCAAAACATGATCTTGCACACTGCAAAAATATATACTTGTATGAAAATCCCGAATTCGTAATTTGATTACTGCTTTTAAATAAATCTCTGTATGCCAATCCCTACAATCAAATTTCTTATCCTTTCGGTCTAATCTGTATGCCACATGAACACTTTACAAAGACTAACCTCCATGTTGAATTCCTACATCAAATTGAAAACTTCTGAGTTTATTGCAACCTGAGTTCTATGAATTACCATCCTTCGGATGAATGATCTGCAGAAAATATCCTAGCCACCCTTGACCATCCGTTCGCTATTTCAACAGTGTTTTGGCGGTCAGCTAGTTCATTTGCAGTTTCATTAACCTTTTCAAATCACATGATGCCAACAAGATCCCATTGTTTCTTCTCTGTTACTGCTCTCTTGTTTCAGATTTTCTCCACTTTCACGCATTTTCTTACTCACCTATGGCCCATTTACGAATTGCAAAGTTGAATCCTCAGCACAAAACTGTTTCCTCGCATTGCCATGTAACTTGTCAAGAATCCTCCATGTCACAGAATCTGGAGCCAGTCCATTTCTTCTCATCTCTTTAACAACTTCATACGCTTCTTTCTTCAAACCTAATTTGCAAGCGGCGTCAATCACAATGTTATAACTGTAAATATTTGGAGAGACCCCAGCATCTACTAGTTCGTAAAGGAAATGGCATGCCTCATCAAACTTTCCTGAATGGCAAATCCCTTTGATAATGGCTGCATACACAAAATTATCGTGGATCTTTGAGGGCCAAATAACTTCATCCCAAAACCTCTTAGCCTCTTCTATTTGATCAGAGTCACACAACCCATCAATTATTATAGTGTAGGTGGTACTGTCAGCAGCCACACCATCACTTACCATGCAATTGAAAAGTTCCATTGCCTCTCTTGCTTGTTTATGCTTTAACAAACCACGAAGAACAGCATTATATGTGATGACATTCGGGCTAAAACCTTTCTCAGGCATTACATGGTGCAGTAGACCAAGTGCTTCTTGGGTTCTTCCAACATTCAATAAACCACTTATCATAGTTGTGAAGGTCACGACATCTGGGGCACAAAACTTTCCGGTCATCATATCGTTTAGTACCTTTGAAGCTTCCTCAATTCTCCCCATCTTGCACAACCCATTGACAACTATGTTTAGGGTGATCACATCAGGCTGACATTGGGTCTGGAGCATAGAAACAAGTCCATTCAAAAGCTCAGTTGTGTTGTTCATAAGACATAGCGCTCTCAAATATATGTTATACATCCTAGTTCTGTCCACTCCTTCCTTACTCAGCATATAATGAAGAACCTCCCTTGCCTTGTGGGGGTCTGATTCTTGGCAAAGACCTTCCACTAGCACCTTGTATGTGTACTCAGACGGAAAATAACCAAATTTAATTCCTTCCTCCAGCAGCTGATAAGCCCTCATACAACCTCCGTCCTTGCTTAGTCCATGTAAAATAGAATTATAGGACGTTAGCTTTGGAGCAAACCCTGCATTTCTCATGATGTAAACAATCCTCGACGCTCCGTGATGCCTTCCAGCTTTACAAAGCGAGTCTATCATTTGTCCATAAGCAAATTCCTCATTCACACTCTTCCCCTGTGGCATATCTTCCGCAATGCCAAACACTTCTTGAAAATACCCTTCTCTGCACATAGAATCAATGAGATTTGCAAAAGCAGCAGATTTTACAGTCATATCATCTTCACCTTTCATTATCTCCCAAAGTTTGCTCATCAATTCCTTGGCACGCCCAACATCCCTCTTCCGAAGAACACCGCGAATCATCACGCTATACGTAAGGGAATTGGGCACTACGCCCTTTTCACCCATTTCGTCGAACACCTTCTGGGCATCACCTAACTCGCCAATAAGACAGTAGCCATTAATCAAGGTAGTGTAAGAAACAGCGTTGGGACAATGCCCTCTACTGAGCATGTCAAAGAACACTCTGTGAGCCTCCCAGGGCCGCAAGAGCGAGCAAAGTTGATCCATCAAACGGTTGTAATTAATCAAAGAGGGTACAAATTCAGGCTTAACATGACTCAAACGGTGAAGAAGACGCAATGTGCTATGTGGGGTTTGAGAACCGAGCAACCGAGCGACGATGACATTGCAAGTGCGCTCGTCGGGGACACAATCCGAAGCAATGGAGTGGGCAAAGCGGTGGTGGGCTTCCGCGAACCGATTGGCGTCGCAAAGAGCGTGAAGAATGCTGCTGAGGTTGAGGGAGTCAGGACGGTAGCCGAGAAGGCGGAGGCGGTCGAGTAGGTGAAGGGCTTGGTCGACGTTGCGGTGTGCGGTGCAGAGGGTGTGAATCTTTTTGGTCCAGTAAGACCTGTTGTCTATGCTTGTTTGGTCTTGGTCGCCGTCTTGTTGGTGGTGTTGTGGTTGTTGATGATGATGAGAGGGTTGGGTGGGGTGTGTAAAGAGGAAAGCAAGAGGGATTGTTATGGTTTTTGGGGTGATTTGTGTCTTGGTTGATGATATATTTGTGAGGAACATTTCATGCTTGTCATATGCAGCATATGCTGTTGTTGAGTTATAAAAACTCTCTCTCTAGTTGTCTTCTCTAGTCCACTCTACCATAGTACCATGCAAGAAATAATGTGGTGGGGGGAACAAACAAAACACTGAAGAGTCTGATATTTGAGCCTACAGAAACTATGGGCTCAGAGCTTGAAGCCCAAAATTTCTTAAAGTTAATGGATTTGGGCTACAAACACTAGATTTGGACATAGGCCTGGGTTTGGAGAAATATGCTCATCACAGTAACCTATCATGAGCTCGTTTGAGATTTGCTTCTCTAAAAAACGCTTTCATTATAAAGGTGTTGAAATTTTCATAAAAATCGAAGTGCTTCTTGAAGACAGAAAGAACTTCTATGACCCATAAGCACTTCTAAACTTTTATGTCAAACACTGTAAGAAAGCGCTCTTAGCCTAGAACTCCCAAACGGGCCTATAGTATCATAGAAGAGAAAGGTAGAAAGAATAAGACAAAGAGACGGTAATAGGAAAGTTAAATAGGCCTGGGTTTGCCCTAGTTTGTTTGGGGCAGCGTAGCATGGGAAGAAATTGAAATGGTTAATAATTGTATGGGGGACTGAATCCAAAGTGAAATGTCACAGGACGGCTCATGTCAGAATTTTATAATTATTGTTCTTGGAACTTTTCACCAAGGAATCGGGGTTATGACATGCTAAATAATTTTGTTGTTGCAACACTCACACCGTAAATAATGCATAAAGAAAATTGATTCCATCATTTATTCATTCATGAATGGGGAACATGAGGCCGAAAGAGAGTCAACATGGAACAGTCCGAAAAGCAAAGATTTCCGCAAAGATCGAAGGGTCCAATAATGCTACGAGGGCAAAACACCCAGCTGTTTCCCTAGATCGTTCATTGTCCATTGTTATGTGCAGAGGTTCTCTTCTCACGTGAATATCACAATCTTATTAAATCTGAATACGCAACCGAGTCACGCAAAATTGCTGCAACTCTAAAAGGACACATAATTTAATTAGGTTAGCTTTTTGGTTAATTAGTCAAAGTAAAAGTTGTTCACTCTATGATTGCATTGTAGGAAGGAAGGTGAGAGTTGTTCAGTGGTCACAGGGAGAATTATTCTAGTGTAGCCGATGGTGGTACGATATTTATTTTAAAAGAGGATATATATATATAAAGCCGAGGGCAAGGACCATAAAAAAAGACGAACATTAGCACCAGTCTGCAGACAATTGGATGCCAAAACTGGCACGCTTTTCGGCTCATAGATATCAGAGAAAACTGGCTTTACCAAAATACCCATCATTTTCTCATCTAATCACAGCAAAGTAGCTAGCAGTCTAGCAAGCCACAGGACTACAACAATACAAATACAGTACATCATACACGCTAATAAAACCCACTCAAATCTGAAGTTAACAGAGCATTAACTCAGTATTAATTAAGTAGCTAATTCAGATTGGAAAGACGAGATCAAGATCAACGGTGGTGAGGGCAGAAGGTGACCACGTAGTTGCCGCGAGTGCAAGTGGCAATGCTGGTGGGATCATCATAAGCATAAGAATAAGCTTTTGGACAAGCAGCTTTGAAGATCTTGGAATAAGCCGTGGGCTTGCAAGACTGAGGGCTCCCAAAGCTGCCAGTGCAGCAATACCTGGGCGAGTTGAAGGCAGAGCAAGCGCTTTTGCAAGCCACCACTCTCCGGTTGTCATGAGACCGCACTTGAAGCCCCACAGGGCACATCATGTTCAGGTCACTGATGCACCCGGCGTAGCTGCACTTGCCGGTGCCTTTGAACGGCTGGATGGAGATGGCCAGGTTGTAACCGTCGACGAGGCTCACGTCGTAGAAGTCTTGGTCGTTGCCAAGGGTGATCTCGGCAAGCGTGGCGGGGGGGACCGCAGTCACCGGTGGCGCAGCGGCCGCGGCCTGAGGCGTCGAAGGCACAGCCGTGGCGGCCCCAGAGGCGGCCGGACCAGAGAGGCGGAAGGTGGAGAGTGTAGGCCTTGTTGGGGGGGAGGGTGAAGCCTCCTCTGGCTAGGATGGGCTGGCCTGCACTGGGCTGAATGCCTGGCCACACTGGGTGGCTGCACTTGTTGTGCATTGTTATTGTGGTGGCTGATGAGACTTCAACTGCAAATAGATTAAGTTAATTAATTAGCCAAGAGAAGGAGATCCAAGGTAATATCCAGTTCCAGCCACATTGCATTTGCCATTAGTTTAAAATGACATAATTATAAAGAAAAAGTCACATTTTGGTTAGAGAGAGAGTGTGTGTAAGTATGTACCTAGAATGTGGAGAAAGAGGAGTGTGGAGAGCATGAGAGTGAGGTTACACCTCAGTAAAGCAGCCATGGCTGTAGTTAGAGAAAAGAGGGAGAGATTAGAAGAAAACTGGGTTGCTCTTCTTCTCCAAAACCCTATGTTACAGAGGTGGGGTTTTATAGAGGAAAAAGGTGAGAAGGGGGTAAGTAAGTAAAGTAAAGTAAAGGTGAGAATGGTAGGGTTGAGTTATTTGTAAAGACTTTACTTGTGTAGTTGTGCTTGTGAGTGAGTAGAGTGGGTAATTTTTTTGAAATGTGGAAGAAATTAAAGAGATGGTTGGAATGAAAATAATGTGGGGTATATGTATGCAATGAAATTACAAGATCCTTTCTCCTCCTTGACCTTTGAGTGGTGAAAATACCTCAAGGAGTGAGTGAGTGCTGACAAAGTGCTCACATTTCAAGAATGTTGTCAGAGGGTAAGTGGGGAAAAGTTTGTCTGCATCCCATAAATAAAAAAGAAGCCTTAATAAGTTATACTAGTACATATTCACATGTTTGAGCATATTCAGTGTAGGGTTGTATAATGACGTGTATATATACACTATTTATGATCGGAATTATTTATAATGGGGATGTGTAAATAATTATAAATTTATATCACAACTGTGATATGCAAATTTAGATGTACATGTGCACATTTTTTTACATTCCTTACACGTGAGGCTTACATGAGAAAAAGTGAAAAAGGGTAGACAAAAGTGAGCAAAATTAATTATATATTTTTAAATTTATATCTTTCTCCTTGTAGGAAAAACCACATTTACAAACCTCATTGTGAATGCTCTTAGAGGAAAGAATCAGTCTGCTATGGACCTCTGGTGAATTGGTCATGGTACCCTATCAATATCAAGGGAGGCTTTAGAAGACAATAAAGAAAAGTGGTGAAAAATCAAAATCTGCAATGTTAATTTTAGCCTTAAAAAACTGTGAATAAAAAAAAAAAAACTAAGAGATTTTTCATTATTTATGATCGGAATCATTTATAATGGGGATGTGTAAATGATTGTAAATTTACATCACAACTGTGAGATGCAAATTTAGATGTACATGTGCACATTTTTTTACATTCCTTACACGTGAGGCTTACATGAGAAAAAGTGAAAAAGGTTAGACAAAAATGAGCAAAATTAATTATATATTTTTAAATTTATATCTTTCTCCTTGTAGGAAAAATCACATTTACAAACCTCATTGTGAATGCTCCTAGAGGAAAGAATCAGTCTGCTATGGACCTCTGGTGAATTGGTAATGGTACCCTATCAATATCAAGGGAGGCTTTAGAAGACAATAAAGAAAAGTGGTGAAAAATCAAAATCTGCAATGTTAATTTTAGCCTTAAAAAACTGTGAATAAAAAAAAAAAAACTAAGAGATTTTTTCTGCTTTTAAAAACCAAATAATGTATATTGTATGCTCTTAGCAAATGAGCAATAGGCAAATTGAGAGCAACAAAACATACATGCACACAAACCTGTTCGAAAAAGTGGAAGGACGTAATTTGCATTTTATTTTGGTTTCAAATGTAAATGTCAATAAATTGTGAGGGCGTTTGCGGTAGTTGTCTGAGTTGATGTTGATCAGTAAATTCAAGTGTGTCTAGACTCTAGTGTAGTGTAGTAGTGTATCTCTCTTCCATCCCACTTTCTCTCAAAAGTCTACCTGCAAATATACAAAAATGGTCTGACTCTGACCCTTCATCAGATCTTACCAAAACGCATTTAAAAAATCAACGGCTTAAAATGTAAATCTATTGGGCTAGTGCAGTTCCCCAGTACCTGCACAACGATGATTTTAATATTATGTGTGTGAGTGAGTCGTGACCCTCCTCAGTCAGTACAGTCCTCAATAGGAATAGGCCCAAGAGATTCTATTCAGAATACTTGTCGTTTCATGGACTGCCCACATATTATACTATATCTATTCTTTAAGAGCCGTAGATCTTTTCGATCAGACAGAAACATCATACATGGCACTAAAGGCCCACCATCATGTAATTATTTTTATTATTTTTTTAATACAAGCGATAGTCTAAATATTCGAACCAAAGTATCATGATGTTCAAACCTAAAACCACTGATTTGCACTATGTTGTTAATTTAACTATTCTCTTTTTTCATCGGGTTCTTTTTGTTGGGGGGTTAGTCCAGTTTATTATTATTATTTTTTTTGGGTCAAATTTATGGACTTATATATGTTGACCTAAGTGGATTTTTGGTAGGCTCATTTTCACCATGGCCACTCTCGACTTCAAAGCTTATGTGTTTTTTCTATGGGCTTGGGCTTGGGCCTGGAGCGGATGAACAAAGGTGGCGTTCTTCTTTCGTATTTGGAATTAAGTCGAGAAGCTGACTAGAGTCAATCACAGAAATCAGTCAACGACGTATTAATGTTGAAGCCCAAATGCTAGCCTCACCAGCAGGTTAGCAACAAGAGACTACAAAGCAGAAGTCGTTGGGCAACAAAATTAACCAAGAGATGTAAATTAATTGATGTTTTTCTACATAGGCTACATAGGTGATAGGTTCACACATTTTTTTTAATTTTTAAATTTTATTTTTGGAGAAAGTGCTGCTCCTTGATTTTCAACTTGCTGCTTATAATAGCCTTGGAAAATGAAATATTAATAAACAAAAGGAAAAGCGGGTCGAAACGTTTATGAAGATATTCAAATATTGTGTCAGAGAGGGGAGAGACGACTAGTCTGTAGAGGGAGGGAGACAGGGCGAGAGAGAGAGAGAGAGAGAGAGAGGAGAAGAAGAAGAATTGATGATGACCTCATAATAAGTTAACAAAAGAAAGAGTGGAAGAGAGATCACATGAAAAAATTTAACCATTATTTGTGGTAAATTGTGGTTTTTGCTTTCAGACCAAAAACAAAAAGCACTCTCTAGTTGTTGTCAAGATCTGCAGCAGCAGCAGCAGCAGCAGCCTGTGCTGTTTTCTTACCAGCCTCAGTCAATTCTCTGCTCCCTTGCTCATGCATCTTCTTATTACCTACACTACATATATCTTAATTTCTTTTTTTCTTTTTTTCTTCAAGCCAGGTTACATGGTAAATAACAAGATGCTTTTTCTTTGCTGGGAGAGGGGTCACACACATATATTTGGTCCAAAACTGGGCTACTGAATTTGAATGGAATGACACGCACACGCACACGCACACACAAACATACATGATATATGATCAGAATATACAAGGGAAGGGGACCATTTAGTACATGAGTTAGGCAAGCAAAGCTTTCAGTACGTATATATAGCTAGCTAGCAATGCATAATGCATTTAAATTTGATTTCCCATTTGATGGCCATGGAATGGTGGTGGAGAATCTTTAAGGAAAGGGCCGAAAGGAGAGTTAAAACACAGTTTGGTGTCTGTAAAATTTGTACTGTTCTGACAGAGTCTTAGTTTTATAGACATGGTTTCATACGTTGCATGATATACATGCATGGTAAATTTGACCTCAGGTCCATTAGAGCAAAGCGTATGTATACGCTCCTTGTTGTTTTTGTTTATCAATTGATAACAAACAACTTAAGTATATCATATGCTCAGTTATTCTTGTCATTTTGCTTTTTTAATATCTGCCTCCCCCATGCCTTGGTCTGTATTGACTATCAATATGATTGATGTGACTATAATTCTCTGTGACTTGAGGTTCAAAATTTTCTTAATTATAGGAATTTGTATCTCTCTCTCTGTCTCTGTCTCTCTCTCTCCACATAATAAGGACATTTAAGACAGAGAACCGGATGATGTCCTTATATACTGTATATAAATTTGACTATCTTTCTCTTTAGACCATGTTAAGCTGCTGCTGCATTTGCATTTGACTCACTCAACTGTCAAAACTCCTAATTTCAAGGCATGAGATTAAAAAGGAAGCAGATGTTGCATTTTGCAATTTGCATGCATGAAAGACAGGTACTCATGTATATATGTTGTATATATGTTGAGTTGTATCATTGTATGTGTGGAAAATCTCATGGGTCTGTAAACCACAGAGACTGTAGAAAGTACCAACACAGTTACACAGGGTGTCAAACAGTGAAAAGGGAGCTCAAAAGGAAGAAAGAAAAACAAAAAGGACGACGCGCTTATTGCCGAGGAGGAACCCATCGCCAAATGAACGTGATATATATTATCTATCTCATCTTCCAAATATTATTGTTATTAATTTTGAATGATAATAATGAATGAGGCCCAGCTGCAAATCTGCATGCTTGTCAAGCAGCATATTGATGATATATATCTAGTACAACTGCGCTGCGCCTGTTGTAATTTCTAAAGCTATAATAAGTCGGTTTGTCCCCTCTTCCCTCTTCCCTCTTTCTTCTCTCTCTCTCTCTCTCTCTCTCTGCAACTCTCTATCACTATGCTTGCTTGTCATGAGAAACCAACAAAACGTACCATATATTATTTACATATCCCTGCATGCACAGACAATACAATCCTCACCCTTTCTACTTGTCTCTCTTATTGTATATATATAAAATATTTTTATCAGAAGTCAGCAGACGCTCAAAATCCTTCAATAATATACCTATTAAATATTTGTTTTTTTCTTTCTCCTCACCTCACCTTTATAAACCTGATAAAGTTTCAACATCAGTCAAATATGATGTAGCACATGCACATGTTAGGTAGGCTTCAATGGGGGTTGTGAAATCTCAAGGTACGCTAGCTAGCTCTAGCTGTAATTAAATCCAGAGAAAGAGAACTTTTTAGCCAAATACTGTTTTTTCCTTTGTTGTTTATTTTTCTCTCACACGTGAATACAAAGTAATCTGAAGCAGCTGCTGTTGATGGTGATAAATGTTCGAAAGCCGTAATTAATTAAGTTGACAGGTCTTTGGATTGGAGAGATTGTGGTCCAGTTTTTACAGTTTTATTTATCTGTTTATCTATATATGGAATGGATGGATATCACAAATCCACGTTTGATCAAACAACTTTGCTTTCAGAAATGAAGACATGAAGAGGTACAAGAGCAAGGAAAGTCTGTGGATCTAAACAGTTGCTACTATTGCACCGTAATTTTGCATTCAATTAGGAGACAATATGATTAAAGAAAGAAGTTTCATATCAGTTGCTTTGATCTTAGTTAGTGGGGGCCGGATCCCATTTTGCTTCAAAACCCTTGGCTTGGGGCACATTATTTTAGATTCTGTTATCAAGACTAGGGTTTTATTTCATCTGTGACGTGTGTTAGTGAGTTTGGAAATGTTTTGTTTGAAATGCAGTGCAGTAGTGTAGTACAATTTCAATTGTTTAAGAGTTTTTGTTTCTTCTTGGGTCAGAAGGATGGTCCTGGATTCGTTTTCAAAGTAGGAAGTAGTAGGCAACTATTAAATGTATGGAATGTGTGCATCACATCATTACCATATCATTTGCTAAATTTGTAACAAAACAACAAAACAACTCTCGAACCTATATTCTTCGTCACTTCAACATCATTCCAGGTTTCACATCTAATTAATTAATCAATACAAATACAATTCCCATATTCCCATATTCCCATATTCCCATCTCTCTCTCTCTCTCTCTCTCTAGACTTTCTGGACTCTCTAGTCTCTCCCTCCCATGCATAATTTCATATTTCGAATCCCATCATTCGAGGACCCCAATCCAACCCAACTCTGAACTCTTTGTATTTTCTGTCCCATGATGAGTCATGAATATATCCACACATGCATGCATGCAAAATCACATGACACATATATGATATATCCACAGTTACTTAAACAAGGTCCGTTTGTGTGGATGGACATTAAACCTCTGCAATATGCTTTAATGTTAGTTTTGCATTGATTCGACCAACATGGTCCAGATGCATTTTAAGGCAACCTTCTTCCTTCGATACCATTTTCCATTGCCATTGCCATTTACCATTACACAACAACACAACTCCCATGAAAATGAAATAATATGTAACTTCAACAACAATAATTAATAAATAAAAAACACTTCCCCTTTTCCAATAAAATAATAATAAAATCTCCCATGCCATCATCTTACATATCATATATATATATATATATAGCAGATAATTAAGTGCATGGTTAGTAAACTAATTAGTTCTTTAAGGGAAGAAACTCAAAAAAAGGGTAAGCCTGAGCACTACTGAAGTTAGCCGATAGCTCTGCACGATCCTTTTCGAGGTTGGCATTGGCATTGGCATGGCCACTTCGAAGTGGAAAGAGTTGAAGGGTTTGAGATTCCCCACAGCCATGATCTTGTTCAACGTTGGTGTTGTGGTTTGGGTGGTTAAAGTTAATAAAACCAGATTCTTCTGATATTGATGAGTAGGGTGTTAGAAGGATGCTGAGATCATGACCCTTAATGAGCCTTTGGTCCATTGTTCTTACTGTTGCTGCCCTGCTTGCCCTGCTGCTTGTTAAATTATTAGTACTATTTGAGTTAGCGGTACAACAAGTAGGGGTGTTTATTATGAGGTGGGTGGGAGGATGAGGGTACTGAGGAGGAAGAGGAGAAGGAGGAGGAGGACAAGACAACTGCATCATCTGCCACGTGGCATTCCTTTCTACAAAGTTTCTTCTTTGCTGCAATTCTTCTTCATCGAATTGGATCCATCCATCCGTCCTGCACTCTGTTGCTGCCACTGCTGCTTTTGCTGCCCTTTGTATTGAAACAGATTCCTGACCCATCATCAAAGCCATTTCAATATACATGTACATTCATTTATTTATTTATTATTATATACATAAAGGCCTAGCATAGCATGCATGAAAACTCATGATCTGATATATCAAAGCCAATTCCTTTTTTCTTTTCTTTAAAGTATTCAACAAGGACACAATTCAAATTAATCCAAGGCCAAGGCACATATGATGATATGGTTCATCATGTGAAATCCAAGCCAAAATGTATAGGGTTAGCATTGTCTTTTTGGTACCCATTTCTATAGAACATATATCAGACCAGAGAAGTGCATGGGTGCTCCAATCACAAGTATGGTCTGTGGGCAAATGACTTGAATGTATAAGCACAAGACCCAAAACCCCAGCTAAGCTTCATAACAGCAGCCCCGACAGAAAGGAAGGAATGGCAGCTTTTAGACCCTTTTCATTTCCCAACAAACAAAGCTTTTGCTAGTAGCTACCTTTGCTACCCATAGCCCTTTGCTTCCTTTCCTTCCATACAAACTACACAGTACAATATACAATACAATACAATACAATACAAGCATCTCCTCTCTATATCTATCTTTCTTTCTTTTTACAACTTATGTGCAGAGTATTGCTTTTCCCTCATCAATCTTTAATTTAAAGTCAAAAGTCAATATGATGATGATATAATCATATGCAAATTATCTGAGCTGCCTAATTGCCATTTATTTACTAATCATAAGACTACTTTTTTTTAGAGAGTTTTGATTTGAGGAATTCCAAGTAGTTGATAAAAGGACGACAAAGGGTACCAATACCAAATTTCAATATACGAAGAAAGATAGACAAATAAAAGCAAATGAAGAGAGAGAGAGAGAGAGAGAGAGAGAGAGAGGAATTGAAATGATAATAGACCTCTGCAAGAGTTGTACTGCTGTTTGTAGAGGGTGCCCAGTTCTTGGTCTGTTCAACTTCAAACCCTGTCCTACTTGCCCCTGTAGTGTGTGGACATAAAGAAAAACAAAAAGAATACGACTTTACAACATGCATCGATCCATATCTCTCAACTCAATTCCCAAACAACAAACAATTCGAATATTATATAACGGATTTTATATTATTCAAAGCTACCAATACATAATATGTATATATATGTATATATCAATAAAAACATGTCCTAGCTTGCTAATTATTAAGCAACAGAAAAAAAAAATATATATATTAATAATGGAAATGGCCACACAAATCAAAGTTCAAGCAAACAAACAAACATCTCCAACTAACTACTTTCCTTCTAAAACATACATACATAAATAAAACAAAAACATTCTAGCTAGTGAATTACTAATATCATAGTATAATGTGGAAACGTTGGGTTTCATGATCAGTACCTAATGATTCTTTCTTTTGATGATCTGTGGATGACAATGATATTTCGTGATCTGGTTGGGCAGAGGGCACGGATGATTCCATCTGACGGCGACGTTTCTGCCTTTCTCTGGCCTTATGATTTTGGAACCAATAGAACACATTCTTCCCCTCTATCTTTCCATATTTTCGAAGCTGCGCTGTGATGTGCTGAATTTGCTCAGCCGATGGGGTTCGAGTCCCTCGTCTGTACAATTCTTCCAGAGCCCTCAACTGCTCCGGAGTTGGGTTCCATCTTGAGCTCACCACCACTTGCGGTGTGTTGATGAACTCTGATCTCTTGTTTTGTTCAGCCATAGCTGCAACAAATATGTTAATTAACACTACTCAAACAAACACGTACGACAAAAAACAAATTCAAAAGGCAAAAATAGATCAAAGGGACGATTAGGTAGCTAGCTAACTAGTGCATATATATATATATATATATATATATATATATATATATATATATATATATATATATATATATATATATATATATATATATATATATATATATATATATATATATATATATATATATATATATATATATATATATATATATATATATATATATATATATATATATATATATATATATATATATATATATATATATATATATATATATATATATATATATATATATATATATATATATATATATATATATATATATATATATATATATATATATATATATATATATATATATATATATATATATATATATATATAACCCATCATCCACATTTTGATTGATGAACACAGTGAAAATATAAACAAGTAGCCAAGAGCTAGGCTCTACTTACTTCTCTCTTTCTGTGTCACCCACCTCTCTCTCAGAATCCCAAGGTATATAATGGCCTTAAAAGGTGAATATAGACATATAAGTAAGTGTATATATGTTAAGGGAACAAGAACAAGATAACAAGAACCAGGGGAGGTGGTAGTAACTAATTATAAAAAAAGTGATGGTAGCCTAGGTAGCTTGAAATCGTTTCCCATTTGAGGTAATGTTGTGATGTGGTATGAAGAATGGTGGTGGAGTTACAAAAATGGGAAAACTAGCATGCAGCAAGGTATTGTGGGAATTGGAGTGGGTGTACTACTACTACTACTGTTGCTGTTGGGAGTGATGGAGAATTGGGAGATGGATGGATGATGGGGATTTAAAATAGGGTGTTGCCTAGCTGCCTCATATAGACACAGTAGGCATGGTTTATATTTGGTATATATTGATGCGATTAAAGAGAAAGGGAGAGAGAAAGAGAGACGGAATTGTTGAAAATGGGTTAGTTGAGCTGAATCAGTGATGTAATATTTGAGTTTCAGACATTCAGAGATGGGGATTGATCACTAGCTTGCTGTCACATTTACTATATGGAATTCAAAGAGAGGGAGGGAGAGAGAGAGAGAATAGTATAGTGTTGTGTGTGTTTTTTTCTGGTCTGAAATTATAGTGTTGGTTTAATACGGAACAACAAAGTGAGCCAAGACACGAGGTTGACTAGGCGCCCTATACAATATATTATTTTATTTAGAAAGAGAAAGACTATGAGAGAGAGAGAGAGAGAGAGAACGGACGAAGGAAAAAAGAAAACAAAAGCAGAGAGAGAGAGAGAGGGAGCAGAGCTGTGTGGAAGCAAAGGAAGATGAGAGGGAGAGAGAGGAAGCGTGGAATTCTGGGAGGACATCGGGAGAAGCAAATGAAAAACGACGTGACGATCATGAGGGTTATCATAAGCCTCATCACCCTCCTCTTTTCCCTTTCCACCCTTTTCCCCCCCCCCTCTCTCTCTCTCTCTCTCTCGCTCATTTATTGTTCTCTTCACGTCTCGTGCCTTTCACACTTATTCTCAATCCGAACTGCCTGCCTGCCTCCCTCCCTCTCCCTCTCTGCTCTGCCCTGCTCCCCTCAATTAATCTTACCCTTTTCTCTTGTCGGCATATATACTACTGCACTATACTATACTATAAGCTCAAGCTCCATCCATCCATGCTTCCCTTCCCACATTGCTACATTGCCACACACACACTTAAACACTTCATTTGGTTTGGATAAGTAACAAATTTAAATATAAGGCATGTTAAAGAAGGAAATGAATGTATAAGTGAATAATTTTTCATTTTGGAGGATTATGAGGAATAAGTTATAATGTGTTAATTAGTATCCTACTTCACGAGTAATCCGTACCTTCAACTTGGTCAAATTTTTTTCATTTCTTCTTTAAATATGTTTTAATTATATTCAATCCAATACTAGACACCAAACGAGCCCATTTACTTATCACTTACAAGTTACCACAAATTATTGATTGCGCCTATTTATGTCTCAGCTGCCAGATTTAATAATGTAGCTAGGTACGCATCCTCTTTTATCTTGCATGGCATTCCCTTTTCTTATTTTAACCCAGATAGCTAGCTAGCTTTCACTTGCCCAACAGATTTGATATCCAATCCCATTATACTCTCCACTGTCCAATCATATTCTATATATATAATTTATTTTGTTCTATATGTGATGCTCCTGCGTACACATGTCAATTCTGTGTGCATGTGATTTGTCTTTTTGGGCTGTCGGATATGTATATGTTAAAATGAGAATGCACCGATACCTTTACTTTACGTGCTGCCAAATTTACCGTGTATAGAGCTAAGCTTGCTTATTTGGAATCTTCCTTCCTTCCTCCTGCCTCCTGCCTTCTGCCTCCTGCCACCTACTATTTATTAATGAATTCAATTGGATTGAATAGTTTCCGGGTCCATATCTGAGTCCATGTCCTGCATGCTGGGCAATTAAGCTGCTGCTGCTGCTGCTGCTGCTGCTGTTGGGGGAAAAAAGAAATACGCAGCTTTGAGTTTCACCCCCAAGTTGCTCTATATATGTATTTATATTCAAGATATATACATATACATACACATACACATAAGCCCTTCCTTTCTCATTATGAGGGAATGACTCAATTCTCGAGTGCACTCACTACTGCACTGCACCCTCTCTCTCTCGGATTTCAAACCCATATATCATATTCATATAATTGTTTCATTATTCATTTTTATCTTTTTGTTGGTTACAGGCCCTACTTCTCTGCAATCTCTAGCTACTATATGTACTGTATGCATATGGATATACTGAATGAAAATGAAATGTATGCATTCACATGCAAAATACCAGTATTCTATATCAAAATGTAAATAGGAAGACGCGAGTCAAATCAAACCTCTCTCACTCTCTCTTTTTTTTCTTTCTGAAATTCAACAATACGATGATGGTCTAGGATTTAGGAAGATAACTCCAATAACTGTAAAGGGTCTAAATAATGTGTTGTCATCTCTACTCACAGGAAAAGAGAAAAAAGAAAGTCTCCGTTGGGGCTTTTGACCCCTTCACACTAGAAAATAAACATAAAAACGAATGATTGGTCAAGGCATCTGCTGTTAGTTTAGTTTGCACTATTATCAGGTTAACAGTACGTAAATCGCCCAGGAGCAGCAGCAGCAGCTACGAATGTTTAACAAGTATTCTTGTCGAACATGTTGACATTTTGGTAGGGCAAATATAATATAATTAGTGTTACAGAAAGCCAGGTTCTGGGCCTCCGAGGATTTAATTAATTGCTTTTTACAAGCTCAAATTCTTAAGCTAGAGCCCGTTTAGGCTTTACATATGTGGCCTTTATTGATCGCACTTCTCAGCCCAATCAAGATTAGGATTAATAATTACTAGCCTCTCTACACGTGCTTCCGCGCCTGTGAGAGATTTTTTTTATAAAAAATTTTAAATTTATTTTAGAATTTAAAAAGATAATTGGTAACTGTGTTCCATAAAAAGAGGATTCATTATCTAATTTTTCTTTTAATTTTAAATTTTTTTAATATAAAAATTGTGAATTTATCATATTATCCTCATTTAATTAATAATTTTAATTCTTAATGTTTGCGTGACATTTTATGGTATTTTGAATGTTTCACCATTCTCTGCCTTTTGCTTTATATATACTAGCCTCTCCGCACGCGCTTCCGCGCTTGCGAGAGGCTTTTTTTTTAAAAAATAAATTTTATTTTAAAATTAAAAAAGATAATGGGTAGTTGTGTTCCATAAAAATAGATCATTATCTTATTTTTCTTTTAATTTTATTTTATTTTAATATGAAAAATTGTGAATTTACCATATTATCCTCATTTAATTAATAATTTCAATTCTTAATGTTTGCATTAACCAATGGCATTTTCTGGTATTTTGAATGTTTCACCATTCTCTGCCTTTTGCTTTATATATACAGATAATATATATAGATAATATTATTAATATGTACACCAACTAGCCTTTCATAATAATTCTTTTATATGCCAACAAGGTCTAACCCAATGAAATAAGGCCTTGACTTATAGATAAGAAAGCTCAAGTTCAAGCCCCCATGACATCTTTAGTTGTAAGCGTGTGTGTTAGAAACCCCCTCTCCTATAATTTAGACTATCGCTTACAGTAAAAATAATAATAATGCTTTATATATGTTCCACACTAGTTGAGAAACGATGAATAATGAGACCAACAATGATATAATTGTCATTGTCAAGCCTTTCCTAAGAAAAGAGAGATGAAGGGAAGCCCAACAACTGGTATAATGGACTCTTTTTGGCAAAGATGGCCCAATAAGAAGTCATTCTATAGTGAGAGCCTTATATATAGCCCTTAGGTGATGTTTTATCTCTTAATTGTTGGATCATACTAATCAATCTCCCCTCTCTTGTAGTTTAGACTATCATTTACAGTCTATAATAATAATAATAATGCTTTATATATGTTCCACACTAGTCGAGGAACGATGAATGATTGTCAAGCCATTCTCGAGAAAAGAGAGACGAAGGGAAGCCCAACAACTGGTCTAATGGACTTTTCTTGCAAAGATGCCTCAATAAGGAGTCATTCTATAATGAGGGCCTTATATATAGCCTTTAGGTGAGGTTTTATCTCTTAACTATTGAATCAGGCTAACCAATTTGATCAAACGGCTAACCAATTTTATAAATCCCTAATTATAGAATTCTAGGCCCAATAAGTAGTAGGAAGGCCAATTCATCTACCAACAAATGAAGCCCCATTACATAACTCAAAACTTCAAAAGATAGTGTTCGTGTGAAAATCAGAGTCAAAATCAAAGTCAAACATATGAAAATGAAAACAACAGAGGAAACGCCATTTTGGGTTGATGCTAGTAGGTGACGATGTGATGGGGGTAATGAGCAAAAAGCATATCTTATTTATAACATAAAATATATTTGCCTTGTGAAATTAAGAAAATGATCATGGCCCT